AAACAATTCTCTTTTTGGGTCTTGTTGTTGAAAAATATGCCAAATATGTATTGAATCTTTTGTCTGTACCGCTATCAAAAAGACGAATATGTCTTGTTTTTCGGTTGTTATTGTCGGAGATAGCATTAGTAGTGCGATCGACGGACGGAACGACAGATCAGACGAGACAAACAATGAAGAAAGGGCAGCCACCACGTCAGCAGCGCGCAAGCGAATGGGAAAAGTGTCCATGTTGGCATTTTTTTTAAAGGCCGGCAAAAAATTTGTCGTGATTTTTATTAGACGAGAAACCCTAAAAGCATCGAAACAAGAAAAAAACAACTGCAGCTTCGGCCGGTGTCAAAGGAAATAGAAAACATGACAGCAAACCCCTAATAATTCCTAGATGAAAGAAAATCCATGCTTGCATTTGGCGTATCGTTTTATTAAAATTTCGTGACTTGTATAGCTAGTAGCGACGAACAACGGTAGCGGAGGCGTTGCTATCCGAAACCGAATAATGGGGGGTTTCGCCCGATCCACTTGTTGCCTGTCCCCTTCGTAACGCAGTGCGCCAGTGCCCACTGTGCCCGATGACGTGCCCGAATGATGAATCCGATAGATTTCTGTCTGGTTCTACTTCTACATCCGGCGACCACTGTTCTCCTCTGTTCAGTTGACAGAAAAAGTGGTTGATTCTAATTCGTTGTGAGAAAAAAAATACTATTATTTTGATGAAACGGTACGTCCGATAAATTTGAGCAAACGGTACGTCCGATAAATTTGAGCGAACAGGGCAATTGTCTTCTTGTCACTCGTGCTGCTATTCACTTCGACTTGCTGTTGCCCATGTGGATCCACACGGCCGGCCATGTGCTGCTGTAGCTGCGGATGTGCGCAACTGTTACAGCAGGGTGCAGTGCATGTAGGGATGAAAACGGATCGGATACGAACGGATATCACTCATATTATATTTGTTTTCATATTTCTGTTCGGATTCGGATTCGGACACGGATAGCGTTTGGATACATATACGAATACGGATTCACTCGGTTACGGATACGAATAATGAGTATCGAATACGGTATGAATCGGATTCGGAGAAGGTCGGATACAAATATCTATTCGGATATTGAGTAAAAGATGCATATATATATATATATATATATATATATATATATCATACGTGCGCAAACCATTACACCACTCTATGAGTCCATAATCCATCTAGATTAAGCCGAAAGACTAAAGAGTAAAGCAACAAATAAGATAAATATATATATATATATATATATATATATATATATATATATATATATATCATACGTGCGCAAACCATTACACCACTCTATGAGTCCATAATCCATCTAGATTAAGCCGAAAGACTAAAGAGTAAAGCAACAAATAAGATAAAGATACAGATACATCATACATCATACATCATACATCATATAAGCACCAATCTTCGCGGCATGAGTAGAAATAGCCAAGCACATTGCTTCATGGGTCTCATGGAGTCATGGTCATGGATTCAAGATCTACAATCCTTATATAGGCCATTTTTTTCATTTTGAGAAAGTTTAAACAAAATGTAGTTCAAATTTCACAAGTGTGTGACATAGTTTTAGAAAGTCTGTATGAGATTTAAGAATTTGTGACTAGTGTTTGATAAAACTTTCTCAAATGGAAAAATGAGCTATGTAACAATTGTATATCTTGCTGAGATGATCAAACTTGGTATTCAGAGTTTTTTCATCTGAGGTCATTTAGTGTCTCATTTGAGCAAGTTTGACCAAGTCAAATTTGGTCAAATGAAAAAACAACACTTTGACTCTAGTATTATGAACTCTAAATGATTTCAAATTGAAAAGTTTTGAATACCAAGTTTGTTCAACTCATCAAGATCTACAATTCTTGTTTTGGTCAACTTTCCATTTGAGATAGTTTGGACGGTTCAAATTTGTGATTTTTAAATTTCGATGCTTACAAACTAGTTTTCGGAACCCTAGATTGTCTCAAATTGAAAAGTTTTGAATACCAAGTTTGTTCAGCTCATCAAGATCTACAATCCTTATATAGGCTATTTTTTCATTTGAGAAAGTTTAAACAAAATGTAGTTCAAATTTCACAAGTGTGTGACATAGTTTCAGAAAGTCTATATGAGATTCAAGAATTTGTGCCTAGTGTTTGATAAAACTTTCTCAAATGGAAAAATGAGCTATGTAACAATTGTATATCTTGCTGAGATGATCAAACTTGGTATTCAGAGTTTTTTCATCTGAGGTCATTTAGTGTCTCATTTGAGCAAGTTTGACCAAGTCAAATTTGGTCAAATGAAAAAACAACACTTTGACTCTAGTATTATGAACTCTAAATGACTTCAAATTAAAAAGTTTTGAATACCAAGTTTGTTCAACTCATCAAGATCTACAATTTTTGTTTTGGTCAACTTTCCATTTGAGATAGTTTGGACGGTTCAAATTTGTGATTTTTAAATTTCGACGTTTACAAACTAGTTTTCGGAACCCTAGATTGTCTCAAATTGAAAAGTTTTGAATACCAAATTTGTTCATCTCATCAAGATATACAATCCTTATATAGGCCATTTTTTCATTTGAGAAAGTTTGAACAAAATATAGTTCAAATTTCACAAGTGTGTGACATAGTTTCAGAAAGTCTATATGAGATTCAAGAATTTATGACTAGTGTTTGATAAAACTTTCTCAAATGGGAAAATGAGCTATGTAACAATTGTAGATCTTGCTGAGATGATCAAACTTGGTATTCAGAGTTTTTTCATCTGAGGTCATTTAGTGTCTCATTTGAGCAAGTTTGACCAAGTCAAATTTGGTCAAATGAAAAAACAACACTTTGACTCTAGTATTATGAACTCTAAATGACTTCAAATTGAAAAGTTTTGAATACCAAGTTTGTTCAACTCATCAAGATCTACAATTGTTGTTTTGGTCAACTTTCCATTTGAGATAGTTTGGATGGTTCAAATTTGTGATTTTTAAATTTTGAATAAATATCCGGATAATATCCGTTTTTAAATATCCGGATATATCCGATAATTATCCGATATCCGCCGGATATCGATGATATTACATCCGTATTTGATATCCGCCTAAGATATCCGTTTTAGTATCCGTATCCGAAAAAAAAAACGGATATCCGAGTAACTATCCAGATAGGTGTTCATATTTGTTCGGTCGAACGGACGGTCGAATAAATATCCGTACCGTTTTCATCCATAAGTGCATGCCTCTTTTCGCTTTGCACTGCCGGTCCGGTGCCCGGTGGCTGCTGCAGTGCAGGAGGGGGATTCATGTGAGCAGCAAAAATGTTGGAGCCTGCGCAGGGGAAATCGATCCTGCGCGCGGCGGCTCCTAAGTACAAATCGAGTAGTCACATTTGCAACCGAAAGGGTGGTGTGGTACGTATATACACACGGCTGGCCAGTCGAGTAGTCGAGGACTTGGTTTCAGAGTTGAGGCTCTGCCTCTGCGCAAACAGATCGCCCGGCAACAACAGCAAGGCTTTTTTCCACCAGGCCTGGCTTGCGCAGCGAATCTGATGACATGAGCTTGTAGTAGTAGCAGGAGTACTGGTACCTGATACCGACGGCCACCACGGAAGGACGGATCACTTGCTTGGGAATCAAGGCTCCAATCCAGGGCCGCGCACAAGCACGTCTGCATCTGCGTTTTCCTGCCTCAGCCTCAGCCTCGAGTCCAGCTTGCTCCATCCCTTTTCCCCGCCTTTTTTTTCCCCCCACACAAGTGGACGCCTCACTCCTTCCTTCTCTCGCTCTCGCCTCTCGGTCGGCGACGGCGAGAGATAGATACGCCATCACCCTTTCTTCCATCGCCATCGGGATGACGATGACCGGTTGAGTTGACAGCCTGACAGGGACGCCTGCAGCCTGTAGCAACACATCGCAACTGGCTGGGATCGGCCGCGCCCGCGCTCCATCTCTCGATCGTTCGTTTCTTGCGCAGCAGGGAAAATCGACCCATACGTAGTATGTATTGGGTCATGTTTCAAGCGAACCTGACTGATCGTGTTGGATTATTTATTGGGTCATACGTACACGGACTCATCTCACGCTTCAGTCAGGCACAGAGGTACTCGCGCGTTCAGAAGTCAGAACGCACGGGTTTGACAAAAACCAGGTGAAACTCCCTGCAACAACTTGTGTGCAAGCGAAAACAAAGAAATATACCACCCCGCGTTTCAATTCAAACATGGGCATCGCCGTTGGGGTCGTCCAAATGTATATGGACATATGACCCCACACATGCATATGCATATTCGCCCTGTTAAGTTGTCTTTCCCGCGCGCCACAAGCACAGGGGAGGAGCCGAGGAGGGTAGCAAGTTAGCAACGAGCGTGCGTCTATATTTGCACGCCGTCTCTGTCATCCCACCAAAACCCTAGACAGGGACGCACGCCTCGGCGACTAGAATATGATGATACGAGGTCCCTTTCGGATCTTCTTTCCCTAGACCTGCGCTGCGCCCCAAGATTTTGGTTATTACTCTCCCTGGCTGCAGCTGCAGCCGCAATTATCTGTACAACTTTATTTATTTATTTACTACTCGTTGCGAAAAGGCCCCGCTTCGAAGCAAAACAAACAAATGAACACCTCGTCAGTCACCTCCCTGATGACCCTGCTGAAGGTGACGGCAGTGGCCACAGCAAAAGAAACAGCATACTACAACTACCACTCCATTCATTACAGCTGTAACCATCTCTGTTAATACATGCCATCACCGGTGAACAATCCAACGGAGAAGGCTAAAAGAAACATCCAGATACGGATACAGAACTAATGTCACAGGGGAAGAAGCTACAGAGTCAGGAAAGAAATGAAGCATACGGGGGGCTGTTTCAGAGTTAACAAGGCACCAGCACCTGGTGCCGAATGGCGTCCCTGGAGAGGACAGAGTCAGCTTCTTGGACGAACACACTGACAATCAGTGTCTTCGATTATTCGATAAGCACTACAATTGTCGAATTTATTCGCAGGCCAGCTTGGTGTCGAAGCTGCTCAGGCAGATGGCGAAGGCCTGGAAGGCGGACAGCGGGTAGCAGTAGTCCATGGTGAAGATGTCCTTGCCGACCTTCCCGAACTGCAGTAAGACCTTCTCCTGGTCCGGCGGAGGTGGACCTGGAGCTGGACCTGGCGGCGAGGCTGCCTGCGGTGGGGTCGGGGCTCCAGCGGCAGCAGGCTGTGTCGTCACAGCGACTAGCTGGAAGTTCTTGACCGAGGCGACAGTCACCCGGCCCCGGAAGTTGAGGCACCAGCACTGCAGCTGCTCGTGCCATCTCGGGGCCTTGTTGCGGAGGACCAAAGGTGTGTCCCTGCACTCTTCGTTGTCAGCGTCACTCAATGCCTGGCCTCTGCTAACAATGCCGTCCCCTGTTACGGCGTCGGAGAACCGGGAACTGCTGAAATGCATGGAGTGGTCCATAGTAGATGGCTTTGACAAGGAGACGCTGCTGAAGGATCCACCGACAGTGCGGGCACCGATGCTATCTGGCTGGCAAGGGACACTGCCACCAGCCTCAAGGCATGAAGCTGGGATGGAGTGCATTACACAGTTCATCCGCCTTGGACCTCGAGTTCCCAAGACATTCAGTTCATATGAGACTTGCGCTATGCTGTACCGGCTGGAAGAAACCTTGGTTGACCCCTGCTTGGAGTAGAATCTCTGGCTTGTTTTCCCTGCCACTGCAGGACTAGTTGCATTGTATGGTGGCTGAGTATCGTATATTACAAATTTTGTGCCAAGGAAATTTGACCTGAAATCCAAAAGGAGACAACATATGTCAGATTTAAAAAGCAATAAAATAAAGGGCAGACCCAGTGCCGGAGGCTCCCACATGAGTGGGGTCTGGGGAAGGGAAAAACCGAGGCAAGCCTTCCCCCCGCAAATCTACAGAGAGGCTACTTCGAACCCACGACCTGGTGACTCAGTGAGACAGCTCTCACCACTGTACCAGGCCCTTCTAAAAAAAGCAATAAAATGGCAAATTAAATTACTGTCAATTCTGAAAATAAGATAAAGTTTACTGAAGCTAGTGCAGCAGTACCTTAATTTCCCAATGTATGTGTTGTTACTGGCAGACCTAGATATATCACCAGAATTTATTGATATTGTATATTCTGTATATGTTGGACGGCAGTTCCTTTTGGCTGACAGAAGGAATTTGCCATTTTCGGCAGGGACAGCTGTAGAGATGAATAATATAACATGTCAAATAGCAATATTGGTAATAAAAAAATTAATCAAGTAGACGAGCAAGAAAACATGTATTTCTGTCTCTTTTTTTCTATGGAATGCTGAGCCTGATACTGTGACAACTATAAAATCATGGTGAATACATAGAAACCATTCAATAACAGCAAAGCGATTGATTAGTTTATAACAAGCTGGAACGATCACACAGGTAAGAGCAAAAAGGCATTCTTCCAGATGAGTTGAGAGAATAAAAAATGCTTGCTGCCGTTAATCGATCTAACAAGAACAATTAGCAACTGTGCATACTAATGCTTTGATTATTACAAGTTGAGAACCTATGGTTTTCAAAGAAACTAAAAATAAGGGCATACTGGAATACTGGACAATGGTTCTCAACTTTGTTATGTATGGGTTCCAAGGAGGGCAAAGAAAGAAACTGAGAATGAATTATCAAGATTGCTGAAAGAAGATGTGGTTCTCAACACAAAGCTTGTCTGTGCATGTGTACAAAAATATGCAACACAAAAAACATTAATTTTGAATCAAAACAAGAAAACCATTGTATCAAGAATTTCTCATGTTTCATGATTGCTGATATGCTCAATGCCTACAAAGGCTTGCGGATAAAGCATGATAAATGTTTGGATAATTTCTACAGAAGACTTTTAAGTTCTGAATACATCTAAGATACCAGACTTTTATCAAACTTCCAATAGTCCACACAGCAATGAACTTACCAGAGCTAAAGCTAAGGTACAGACTGTAGATTTGGGTAGATTTATCGCTCTTAATGAAACACTGAATAGTTCCATCTCGAGGCCCAGGCTGTAGACAGACGAGGAACAGCAGGATCTTATTAGTTTATCCAAAATACAATTGGTATAACAATACTGGACATAGGAATATTGACAATGCTAACAAATCAGGATAGATGGATAATAAGGTAATAACATAACTGAATGATTACCTGCTTCAGGAAACAGGAAAAGTGATTTTCCCAGAAAACTCTGGGCTCTTGACAATCTCTCTACACAACTCTCTCCATGTTCTGCAGACAGCTGCACAAGCAACTACATGCTTCCTAGAAGGCCATGTATCCTCACTGGTCTCCAGCCTCTCAATCACATCTCGAAGTAATTCAGGAGGCAAGCTAGCCCAGCAGCTGCTCTGTACCACAGGCACTGGGTCGTGCAGCTCATGGACAGCACCATGAGATTTCCCTCTGCGATGACTCAGAAACCTGACCTCGAATCCCCTCCTAGACAAGCTCCCGAAGCCATCCCTTACATCACGCACGATGCTACGGAATGACATCTACTCCAGAAGGCAAGAACTCTGCTGAAGTACCAAAAAGAGCCTCCTAGATAAAGGCAAGCATCTCCTTAAACTCAAGAAAAGACCTGGAAGATAAAATTAGTCTGTTAGTAACAATTCAAAAGTACCCTGGAACAAGGAAAACATTTAATTAGCTATATCCATTTCCAACATCTACTAACCTACCTTGAGGAAAAATATGAAATATAAAAAGTAGCTCATATAGGTAGTATTTGGACAATATGCCATACAAAGCAACCACAATATCAACTCCAACCCATCACATCAGAATAGCCCAAAAAGACACCCCCTAAAACACTACCCGGCACTAGACAGCAACTGTTTCTACTAATAGCAATTTGGCATCCAGATTTTAGTCACTGTGATTAAACCATCATACTTCCCACTAATTCTATGACAACCTATCATCAAGGGCAAAACACTCAGGTTGAAGCCAAGTCACCATCAATCAACAAGCATGTACCTTCCTCCCCTAGTATGGCATGGCCACCAACCCACCACCAACCTCAATTTACTAACCGTACCATCCTGAAAGCAATGGGATTTCAGTACAGTTAGTTGGGTTGGTTGGTTGGATGGACACTCGGTCAGGATCCCACTACGACGGATACAGTGCGCTAACTTCCACTAGTAACCACTACAGAAAAAGAAAAAAGACAAGACAGTACAATAATAGCAGAAGCTTATGCATCACATGTAAATATAACCAATAAAGCTCATATCAGACCCAACTATAAGTGCTATAAGGACTGCATTAAGAGAAACAGCTCAGATGTAACTTAGGAGGCACACGAAAATGACCACAGGCACAATTATTTAGCCCGGGCAGGGGTAGAAGTAGAACATCTAGTATCGAGTTTCACTACATTCGACGGATGAAGGCTGCCCAAAGAATGAGTAGGAAATCTTTGTCTAGCAACCGCATCTTGTACGAAACATAACGAAGTGAACAGTCAAAAGCGCCTCCTTTTCACACAAATCGCGCCAAATTTACCTAAACTGAGCCGGTATCCATCAGCATCCACCAAACCCACCGAATCGGCGGGAGGAAAGAGCTAAAAAACCTCTCTTTTCCGCGTGAACCAAACTAAAAACGCGCAACAACGCAAGCCCCCCTACAATCGGCGGTGGCGGAGCACGGATCTGCACGGCACGCACCGGAGCTGGAGCTGGACTGCGGCGCGGCGCGGCGGGGCGGGGCCCGGAGCCTGGCCGAGCCCGAGCTACGCTAGGGCGCCGGGCGGGATTCCGAAGGCACCATCCGGATCGGAGGGAGGGGATGGTGCGCGAGCCGAGGACGGATGGGAGGAATGAAGACGAGAGTGGTGGGAGGGTTGGGAACTGGGGAGGCGAGACGGAGGAGCCGAAGAGGAAAGCGGTGGTGGCGTGGTGGCTCAGTGGCCGCATGAGCCAGCGGTGGTACGGGTGGGCAGTGGGCGCAGACAGAGCCAGCCGCCGCACAGGGCTGGTGTGCGCGTAGCGGATGCGCCGCTGCTCGTGTCATTACTGCAGATGTCGAGGACAACGGAACGGGACACGCGCTGGCAGTGGCACGTCACAGAGGACAGGAGTAGACTTCGAGATAGCCGTTGGGCGTTGGCTCTTGTCAATTTTTTTTTACCGAATTGCTACAGAGCACACATGTGTTTCTCCTCCTCCTGACACACAATTTTTTTTTTTGTCTCTGCCTTGTGTGGTCATCTTGTCGGCGGCGCCCACTGTGGTGTAGTGCCTTCACTGTTTTGAATTGAGAATCGCGCCGGTTCATTTCCCCACTGCCCACCGCTCAGTCTTCTTCGCCAGTTCGCTTAGTCTTTCCCAGTCGCTCCCGAGACGATTTTGGATCCAGAGGTTGTGCTCCGACGAACTCGTTCTTCTCCATCGCGGACTCCTACCAAAGGTGTGTGTTCGATTCCGTTTCATGGTGGTGGTGTAGATTTCGTTGTTGTGTGCTGTGTTGAGGGAAGGGGAGAGGTGTTCTTCCGCGTTGATTGTGTCGCCGTCGGGGCGATTTGAGAGGCGACCTTTGTGCTCCGCCCCTCGCCGTTTCTGTGCGCCGCCTCCCTCTCACTGATTTCGTTCCGATTTGGTTTGGATTTGGGGTTTTTTGGGTTGTGGGTGTCACTTTGGTTGCGGCAGTGGATGTGGTTGAGGATTAGGTTGCAGCCCAATCCTCTCCGCATCGCGTGGTGGTGCTTGTAGTTTCCTCGCCGTTGCTTTGCTTTTGCGTCACACGTAGGTGGTGGGTGGGGCGGAGGTTGTCGGGCATGCAGCGGGTGCTGCCGATGTTGTTCGCGGCAGGCAACAGGTGGGGAGGAGTTGTGGGTGGGGACGCTTTCTGTAACACCCTCGGTGTTACACTGTTTAGTTTTGCTAAAACACTGCATGAGCATCATACGCATGTGTAATTGTGTGGTGTAATTGTGTGTAAATATATGAGTTATAGAGTATAAAGTAATGTATATAACTTGAAACGTTCGTCGGTAACACGAAACAAATGCTACATTTCATGTCGCTTTATATCGTTTATGGTTCTAAGTGAATTTTTATCGAACAAAAATGCAATAGAACGCTTATGCGATACTTTGATAAAGTTGATAGTACGAACTTCGTAGGCGACGATAAAATATGTGGCAGAACCGCCTAATCTAATGCCTCACAGGAGTGCTTGTCTTCTATTAGACCCTAAGCACTTGAGGAAGAACACTAAATTACTCGGTTTCGTCGGGCACACCCTAGGGGAGAACCCGAAAATCCACATTTTTGCCATCAGGATCACAAATAAGAGAATAAAGCTTACATCATTCTGAACCATTTCTTACATCACTTTTAATACAACATCAGAGTATAATATTTATTAATATAACAGCGGAATGAAATCATATTATCAGAGTTATAACAATTTAATTGAACAGCAGGATATAAACATATGATCAGAATTACAGCGGAAATAAATATCTAATTATGACATGATGAAGTATTGATATATAAACTACGACAACAGATTATGAAACTTTTATTTATAAAACCATTTGATGAGAGTTATAAATAACAACTACGATCGCAGCGTAAAGGAATCCTCGCTGAACCCACCAGGAGGTATCCATACACAAGGGTTAGCTCAAGCATACACCTGTCACCTGCAACAGGGGGAATAAAACCCTGAGTACTCAATTGTACTTAGCAAGACTTACCCGACAGGAGGAAAGAAAAGACTCCAAGGATATGCAAGGCTATCTAGCTTGTGGGTTTATTGCATTTGCAGGAAGCATTACTAAACGTGCGTCCTTATATTCGATTTTATTAATAGCCGCATTGGTTTATTAACTAACCATTCTATGTAAGCACATGTACTACTTTCAAGTAGGTGGTAAGCAATCAGAGTTCCTTTTCTATTCCATCTTTCAGTTCTTACTACGGTGCTAGGCACGAAACAAGCCGTACCAGATCGTTCGGCGATTCGTGAATCAATGCCCCCAGCTAGGTACCCCGAAAATACACGCCCCGCTTGTATCCAAGGCACAAGCAGGACCAACCCATCACTCTCCTGTCCCAGGTGTCTAGGTCCCCGTCCAAACCGAGACTCCAAGCCCCCGCCCCTGAGTCCTGGACTCAGTGCGGTGCAAGGACCTCCTCCACCAAAATAAAACCCTGATAGTCGGTCCGAAAAGAGCTGGATCCGCAACAAGAGAGCAACAAGTCTTTCAAGCGCCCATACCCAAGTATGTGCTCGGGATAAAAAGTCTATGACTTGCCTAGATGCCTTATGCAACGATCGGTCCTTAACCGACCAGACAGGGAAAACAGTGTAACCAAGCCATGCCCCATGTCCACGGCGACACAACCTCTTTCACCCACCAATACCCAAACCATATCCATGCCCGGTCACCATTTTTCCTTTCCACCATTTATATTTTTCAAGTGATAATCATATAGTACATATTTTCTATATCTCGCGAGTGACAGACAATCACTCGACTTCTACCAGAGTCCTGTAGCATAGCATTCTACACGATCCTGTCATACTAGTAAGACTCATAGGATAAAGATATATATGCAAGTGGGTTTCATTCAACTCTTTAAAACTTAATGCATAAATATAATTTAAACTGCAGAAAAGTAGGGGTTATGCACCGGAGCTTGCCTGGGAAAGACATATTAAAAGTTAGTATCAGCATCTTCAGATCATCCACATCATCTGAATAGAAAACCCATTGTATCATCTCCTGAAGAGAATACCATTACACCATTTTTGGATTCCCAATCATCCTTCGATCAATCCGTTGATCCATCATCGTACCTATATGATATGCATGCGATGCAATGCAAAGATGTAATTAATCAACTGCAATTGTGACTCAAAATATGACGTACGCCGCTCGAGTTAACGGGCCAGTTCTAACGATGACCGTACCTAGTCTACCCATACATGTTGTCAAATTAGACGTTATTTCCCAACAATTACTTTAGTTATATAAACCCAAGTTATTTCTTTATTTCATTTTATCAATTTAATATTTATTCAAAATAGGGCATCATCATCTATCTAGCAAAGTAATTATTCTGGAACTACAACAATTACAACAATTCCTACAAGTTCATATTTTTACCATATTAAGTATCTTAAATTAATTATATAGATTCCAAGAACATTATCAAACTATGTGAACAAAATACACTATTAGATAGATCATGATTTTAGAAAACTAACAAAACTGGTTTCATCATTTTTGGACACCTACATAATTTTATTTAGATTTTGCAAGTTTCAGCCCTTTTTAAACAAAAACAAGAAAAAGATAGGCACTCGGGCCAGCCTCGGCCAGCGCGGCCGACGTGGGCGGCCAAGCCGGCCAGGCAGGCGGCCCACCTGCGCTCATACGGGCAGCGGCCCAGGCCGGCAGCAGCCCATGCGGCCGGGAGCGGGGCAGCGACCCAGAAACGGCGACGTGGTCCAACACGGCAAGGCCTGAGCTGCC